TTTTCTTTCTTCTATCATTTTTTATATTATAATTTGTAAATAATTATATGATAATAGAAATATTTATAAATTTTTTGAAATTTTCAGCTCTATTAAGTGTATCTGACAAGACTGATTTGTTACCATTGGCGAAAAAGCTGCATGAATTTGGATTAACATTAATCGCCTCTGGAGGTACAGCACAGGCATTGAGAAATGCTAATTTACCTGTACAAGATGTTTCGGAAGTTACAGGAGCGCCTGAGATGCTTAATGGACGTGTGAAAACTCTACATCCTGCTATACATGCTGGTAAAGATAAATATCTTTTATCAAAATATTTGATAAGATTCATCTAATGAATATATTACATAGCAAACATTTCATATATAACTATAACAAATCAATATTTACAACTTTAACATTCTTATTTCTACATTAACAGGTATTCTTGCCAGGCTGACCAATTCTGATGCTCAAGATCTTCAGAAGCAAAATTACGATCTTATTCAAGTAGTAGTTTGCAATCTATATCCTTTTGTAAATACTATTTCGAAAGCAAATGTGACAGTTGAGGATGCAATAGAGAACATTGATATTGGTGGTGTAACTTTATTGCGAGCTGCTGCCAAGAATCATAACAGAGTTACAGTTATCTGTGACCCCAATGATTATGAAAAGATCATTAAAGAGATGGAAACTGCTGTTGATAAAAATACCTCTCTACAAACTAGGTAAGTTCTTGTGATAATGTAAATTTGTACCTCTTGCTATTATATAATTATATTAAAATTGTTGCTTAACATTTTTATACAATTTGTAGGCAAACTTTAGCCTTGAAAGCATTCACTAATACCGCCGAGTATGACAACGCTATTTCGGATTACTTTCGCAAGCAATATAGCGCTGGAATCTCGCAACTTACTCTTCGTTATGGCATGAATCCACATCAAAAACCCGCACAGATTTTCACTACCTTAGAAAAGTTGCCATTGACTATAGTGAACGGATCACCAGGTTTCATCAATCTATGTGACGCATTGAATGGTTATCAATTAGTGAAGGAATTAAAATCCGCGCTAAACTTGCCAGCGGCAACTTCCTTCAAACATGTTAGCCCGGCTGGCGCCGCGGTTGGAGTCCCTTTGGATGATATACAGGCGAAGCTGTGTCAAGTGGACGATCTTTACGATCAACTTACACCCCTAGCAACTGCCTACGCTCGTGCACGAGGTGCTGATCGCATGTCCAGTTTCGGCGATTTCATCGCATTGTCCGAGCCATGCGATGTTACAACGGCGAAGATAATATCGCGAGAGGTTTCAGACGGAATAATTGCCCCTGGCTATTCGGAGGAAGCTCTTCAAATATTGAAGAAGAAGAAGAATGGTGGATATTGTATACTTCAAATTGATCCTTCTTATATACCATCTGCAGTGGAACGCAAGATTCTGTATGGCTTGGTTATGGAACAGAAACGTAACGATGCGGTTATCGACAAGTCGACATTTGATAACGCTGTAACGACGAAATCGAAGATTCTATCGGAGGATGCTATCCGCGATCTAATCGTAGCAACTATTACTGTCAAATATACGCAAAGCAACTCAGTCTGTTATGCGAAAGATGGACAAGTAATCGGCACTGGCGCAGGACAACAATCTAGAATTCACTGCACTAGGCTTGCCGGAGATAAGGCCGATAACTGGTTCGTTATATGGTTCTTTTAATTTTATATGAAAATATTATAGATATGATATGAGTATATTAGAGTATATTTTGATTATGTATGTATATATTTTTAGATATTGTACTCTCTTTTACAGGTGGCTTCGTCAGCATCCAAGAGTGATAGGAATGAAGTTTAAAAAAGGCGTGAAGAGAGCGGAAATCTCTAATGCTATCGACAATTATGTCAATGGGTCTGTGGGAAAGGATATGGATGAAGCTACATGGGCCTCCATGTATGAAGAAATACCTGAAAAACTATCGGAAAGCGATAGAATTGAATGGATTAAGAAATTGAATAATGTCGCTCTGAGTAGCGATGCTTTCTTTCCATTCAGAGATAATGTTGATAGGGCTAGACTTGTACGTACAATGTATCACTTATATTATGCTCTGTGATATTTCCATGATATAATTATTTAAATAGTTAAAATTATGTGTTAAATGCTGATTTGTTTTTCGTGTAGATATAAATTTACATCATTTATAAATTTTTTTCGATGATGTATCTTTTTTTCATTCATTACAGAGTGGTGTCAAGTATATTGCGAGTCCTGCTGGTTCTACAAATGATGCAGCAGTAATCGAAGCTTGCAACGAGCATGAAATAGTGCTGATTCACACTAGTTTCCGCTTATTCCACCATTAGATCTAAGATACAAATTATATATCATTGTTGGTATTTTTATATTTTTATACATTCCAAAAGAAAGAAGATTTCTTTCTATTATAATGTTCTAATATACAAGAAAACTAATACCACAAAATATTTTTGTATTTTTCTTTTAATATCAAAATTTATGTACACAACTATATATTATTAATAAACGTTTATATAAATTCCAGATATGCATGTATATTATTGCAATAATTTATAAGTTTCATCACATGTTTTGATATTTTAGCTTTATTTCAATAAAAAGTACGTGTATAGCTTCATCAGTAGTTGTATATACAATAGGTGTATACACATCACACACACATGTATATATAGTTTATCTATAATTTCTTCAGATAAGCAAATTGATAAATAAGGAGTTTTGAGATTAAAGCTGGCCACACACACTTTCCGTAATACGTAACAGTAAGGTTTCGACCAATCGCGTTGCTCGATTCGGCCGAATCGAGCAACGCGATTGGTCGGTACCTTACTGTTACGTCTTACGGAAAGTGTGTGTGGCCAGCTTATCACAGAGAGAAGCCTGAGAAATGTCACGGCTAAACGCTAGACGCTAGAGAAACAAGGATAGCGTGATCGTCAATCCTTTTCTATCTTTTATCTTCACGGTGCGTCCACGCGAGCAATGCAATTGTGTGTATAGTTTATACATATACGGACATACACGTCTACATAGAGACCGAGAATTTATTTCTCAGCGTTGGTAATCCTGACACTATAGTTTCACATTGTCACCGCGCGAGGTCTCTAAGATCGATTTGATAACCCGGTGTATTCCGCCAAAGTTTTTATTTACACAAATTCAATATAATAACTAAGTTAATATCGCTTCAATAGTAATTTGAATAATTATGGACGAAAGTGATAACGCTCAAATAGTTGTTAGTAAACTATACACGTGCAAGATTACTTATATATATAAGAAAAACTAACTTTATAAAAATTAATTATTATTATTATATCGTAACATTTTTCGTTTTATTGTAATTTTTTAATATAAACTTGGATAATTATTAACTTCAAGTTAATTAATTTAAATCAAATTTAAAACACTAAACTTTAAATTATGTAAATTAAAATATTATTTAATGAATATTGCAGTTATTTATTTATCTGATTGAATCTCTCTATATAAATCTGTATTTGAACAATTGTGTTTTGTATATATTTTTATATTGCAATTTTGAATTTGTATTGAACAATCAATGATCAGAAAGAAACTAAAAAAAAATTAAGAATTTAGTTCTGCTTACTAAATAATAATCTTTTGTATACTCTCTGTATTTTGCAGGTTATAGCAGATGATGTTTGTAGGAAAGCAGGTATTGCGACAACCTGGATTAATAGCAATAGATTTGGAATTCATGCATACAAACATATAGATAAGTTTTCACAAGGTGTTTGCAGAACTTTTACATATTTCTTTGGATATAAACCAAAAATGTGATTATATATTATGTATATTACCATTTCCTCATGTTATCAATTCTTGTTTCAGATACTAAAAGTCAGTTTGCACCTTGTGAAGCAAAAGTGCATTTTCTCCGGCCAGATATCATATTATTTTCACCTCTTTTACGTAAATTGGTTAATGAAAGCAATGGTATTTTTCTGTCAGTACAAAATCTTAAATCCTTTTCTTCTGGTGACATTAGGCCAGAACTTCTCAAACACAGTAAACAATATAGATCTATATTGAGAGCATGTGTTGAAAATCTACAAGAGATATTACCAAAAGAGCCACTATCGGAAGAAAAAACAATGCTGGAAAATTTTCTCACTATATTTTATCAAGTGGAATGCATCTGGCACTTGACAGAAATTCTCTATGTTGATACTGTACCAGGTAAATTAATACATATATATATGAAATAATATTAAGTATAATTATACATATAAATTTTTTTTAGAAAATAATATTTGCCTTAAATACATTGCATTTTTTTTTATATATTGCATCATGTGCATAGGTGACGTTGTACTGCCGCAATTATTAGAATGGATCAGTTTTCATTTTCCTTCAAGAGAGCTAGTAGCTTCAAAAATTTTGTCGAAGAAAGCTATTGGTGCTGATTTAGAAAATTCGAATTATTGGGAAGCTGTAATGGGCTGTGCATTTCATGGGAAATTAAATTTAGTCTGCCATCTTCTAGCATTGCACAGCAAAGCAGATCATTCAGCATTCATTACTGCAGACAATATTATCAGAACAATGCCGGTATACAATGTATATGGCGGATATTCTGTAAATGAGTTTATTATACGATGGAAACATTGGCAAATGGATCTTTGCTCAAATCTAGAAACTAACTATTTTGTTATAGATAATAATCTGGAGATGCTCATGAAGGTCAGTTAAGTATTATATTAACACATTCTTTTTTTTTTCAAATATACAAAATTTTGTTCTACAGTTAATAGCAGGAGATGAATCAGTGTTGTGGGAATATTCTATGTATACAGAAGCATGGTATGAATTATTGGCAGCAAAATTATTTTATTCGGCTCCTTGTTGCAAACAACTGGAGCTTTCACGTTACGCAAACAGTGTTGCTGAGAGATGGCAAGCTAATAGACACTTAGATCGAGTAATTCTTGCTTTAATAGAAAATGATTTGTATCAAGTTATCAAAGAGATACAATATATGAGTGATAACGGCTGGTTTGCAGCTCATTTAATAGATCTCTTGTATAAATGTGGAAAATTAAATATTTTAAACAAAGAAAAGACAAAGTAAGTATGAATGCAAAGTAAATCATTGATGATGAATTGAAATATTTCGCAATTTGTTACAGTGTGACTGCACAACTTCACGAATCTCTTATATTAGAGTATGGTACTATGTTAATGAGTCATCACTCGTTATGGCAGTGTGGTGCGAGTTACTTGATACACTGTTCTAAACAAGGTTTGGGCAGATTAGAAATTCTGTTGCAGTCGCTACCGACAGGCACGGAAGCGAGAATCAATAAGATTATCGACATCGCACGGGACAATAATATGCCGCACGTTGGTAAAATTCAGTTTCATTCTTTCTTCTCTTTGACTTTAAATAATATTTATTATAACTCAGAAACGCGTGCGTGTTTCAGTTGCCAGTATATGCAAAATTCAAGGGATGAAGAGTATAAGACAAGGAAGATTGGGCAACGCTCTCATGTGGGCGCTTAAGGCACATGATGGCAATTTTACTACATACATCGCGGACCAGTTTTTAAAACATTACGCAGAACACGGGGAATTAGAGTGTCGCGATTTGTTGGAAAATTTAGGTTCTTGCATGCTGGCCAGCGATAGGCTTACATTTTTAGGTAAAAAAATATAAAAAGCAAAATGAAAATATGACTGATGGAAATGATAATTTTCATATAATTGTTTTACCTTTTTTTAATTATATATAATAATTAATAAGATCAATTTGTGTTATTGCTTTCAGGAAAATATTGTGAATTTCATCATATGTATGGAATGGGCGAGTACCGAGAAGCAGCAAGTTTATTAGTATCCCTCTTAGTCTCGAATTTGACACCAAAATAGTAAGTTATATTATTCATCTTAAGAATATTTTTATGTTTAATATTTTTATGGATTGTAACTTTCTCTTTTTCCTCAGTTTTTGGTCTATTCTGCTCACGGATGCTATACCATTATTAGAAGCGGAAGATGTGATTTTTTCATCCAATGATTGTTACGAACTGCTACGTTGCGCAGAAGCTCACGGCGATGATCCGAAATTTCAAGACAAAGTTTCCATATTCCGAATAGGCGTTGCACGAAACCTGGCACGATCTTTAAGCTTAGAAGGTTGCCAGGTTGAACATTGACATTATTCATTGCTGTACAATTCATTTCTTTTGTAAAATATGTTATCAGTATCTTTTTCTACTTAATCTTGCAATTTATACAAATATAAACAATTTGAACGTTATGAAAATGATCTTTAAGTAATATTTCATTTGTTGTATAGCAAATTTATTGGAGATGCGTTGACAGAAAGAATTTTTAGAATTCTGACAGTTGCTCAGCAATTGATGAAAAATATGTCCACAAAAGCTTTTGCAACAAATAAAATATAAACGAAGATTAAAGGGGAGAATACAATAGAATCTTTTTATTCCATTCTTTGTTATTTTGAATCCCATATTATTTTAAGAATACATTCCACATCTGATTTTATAAATGCTTTTTTTATAAATGCTTTTTTTGAATCGTTTAATGTTTAATTGATCAATTACGATGAAGAAATCTATGTTTCTTTTGTTCCCTGATTTATATAAATCAAGTGCATCTTTTTAAATTAGAGGTTTTATTTTTTGTAACTAAACTTCTTGCAACCGCTTATCGTTAGTATAATAGCAATCCAACGTAATTGGCTCTTACTTTTAGAACCAACAAATCAACGTCGAGTGTTGACAAGACGATAACTCAGCAATTGTTTTGTTGAACATGGCCACTATGGCTAGGTCGGGGAGACGCTAACAGCATCGTTCTATCTTTATTACTTATCAAAAGTTGAACAAGGACAGAACATGCTCATAGCGCTAAAAGCGTGCTCCTCGAACCTAGCCTATATATTTGCCATTATAACCCTGCGTGTAGGGTTATAATGTAAATGTATAGTGTATCCCGATTGTTTATACTATATTTTTCTTCTTTTTCGCATAAATGTATGTTCTAAATGTATATCTATTTCATTTTAATTAAATAGGAAAAAAGTGCAGCTATAAAAAAACACGAATCTATTCTTCAGTCTTTGCTTGCGCTTCTGCTTTTATTTATCTCATTTGTATTTTGATAATCTGTCCTTTTGCATCTTGTATGTACTACAAAAACTTATGTATGTCTCACTATTTATCTATAGATATTTTTTACACACATTATTTTTATTGCAGATTGCAGATTTCATGCAGCATGTTTTCCATAACTTTAGTAAATATTGATAGTTACCAAGCATCTCCGATACCAGAACTTGATGTGACATTCTCTGAATTTCGTGGTTCGGAGATAAAAAAGGTACCTATAATTAGGATATTCGGATCAACTGTCACCGGTAAGAATCAAATATAAAATCAATAATTTTATTATTGGTCTATCTTTTGATAGATTAAATATTTTACATTAAAGCATTTTAATAAAGTTTAAGAATTTTTAGGTAAAAAGACATGTCTGCATATTCATGGTGTCTTTCCATATATGTATGTACCATGCACTATTCAAGAGAATACAGATAGTTATGCTTATCAACTGGCTGCATCAATTGATTCTGCTTTGAATACATCTTTTGGTTCTACATTATCCACCAATCAACATGTCTACAAAATCCAACAAGTATCAGGAATGTAAGAACAATTCTTATCAGAAATTATATAATAAATAGATCTCATCACACAATATCTTTTTTATTTATAATATTTGTATAATAATTGTATTTATTACTAACAATAAGTAAAAAATTGATAAAGCTCTTATGTTAAAAACAAGATTTAAAGCATTTTAATATAGTCTGGGAAATTTAAATTATATTTATATTTTTTTATACATTATTCGTTTTATTTATTAATTATGTCACATTGTTTTACAGACCTTTCTATGGTTATCACGAGAAAGAGCATTTATTTTTTAAGATATATTTTTATAATCCAGCTATAATTAAAAGAACAGCAGATTTGTTGCAGGTAAGCAATAGTGCTTTTTCCTTTTCTATATAAAATATATACCTTTTTAGAAGACATATCAAATAACAGAAAGATATTATTTTTTCAGAATGGTGTTATTCTCAATCAAACTTTACAGCCATATGAAGCACATATTCCCTATATTCTACAATTTATGATAGATTACAATCTCTATGGCATGAATTTAATAAATTTGAACAACATAAAATACAGATGCTCTTTGCAAGGATGTACAACAGAAAACAGTCAAAACAAATCTTCAATGGATTTGATAAACTCACAAATGTATCTTCCAACATCTATAACAAGACAAAGTACGTGCGAATTGGAAGTAGATGCGCATGTTTCAGATATTCTAAATAGACAAAATGTCACTGAAAAATTGGAACTGAATCCTGGTCTTGCTGCAATCTGGAATGAGGAGAAAACAAGGAGGACTGCAGCTGGTTTAGAAAATGCAAAATCACAATTATTATATCCTAAAACTCCTAGTAAAGTTATCCTGCCTCCAACAAACAATGATATTTATCAAAAGAGTCAATTATTGAGAAGACTGAATGCTATATCACAAGTATTTTATTGTTCTATTGGATTACTTATTTAACGTATGTTTTATGCATATTTATGTATATTAATTTTAATTTACCTATTCTAGACTAATGAAACAGTTATTTCAAATACAACTGTATTTTCATATCCTATCGAAATAGAAGATAATGAAAATGTCTTAAATGCATCTTGTATTATAAATCACAATGAATCTTTTGCATGTGAAGAGAATATTGAAAGAACACTTTCTGATAATTTTAAATTTTTGCAAGTAGCCTCATCAGCATTTTTAGAAGCAAATCGAAGTCAAAGTAATGTAACAGATACAAGTATTTGTAAGTATCACATATTCACTATTGTATGTTTTAAATATACCTGAATAAAATATTTACATTAAAGTAACTATATAAAATATATAATTTATTTCTTTTTATGTATTTGTGTATGTCCAGTGGATGCAGATGATATACAATTAGTAGAAATGTTGGCTGACTTAGCGGAAGAAAATGAGATTAAGATTAATGTAGATGATGATAGCGTTCTCGGATCCCAATATTCTATATCTAACGGACCAGTTAAAAATGATCCAGAGGAAGAGGAGATTGAGGATTTAAATATTACAAGTTTAGACTTAGATGATTTAAGTTCTTGGGAATCGATGCATAAACGATCCAATCAGCATGGCAATGTGGGAGAAATTATAAATGATAAACAGAATACGGAATCGGTGGATGATTTAAATGTTAATGAAGAAAGTGACATAAATGTTACACAAACGAATTTTCCCCAACTTGATGGAATTTATGATTTATGTGGAAATATGTTAGATTATGAAAGAGAGACTGTAAATGATTTAAGTAATATAAGGATGATATTTAAAAGCGATACAGCAGCATGTACTATAGGTCAATGCCTTTCTGAAAATAATAAATATTTTACAGCTGTTAATACAAGAAAAAATTATGCAATGTGTAATTCATACAGAAATTTATATCTAGTGGACATTATCGAGTATATTGCAAATAATCCCGACAGATATCATCTAAAAAAAAAATTATACAACTTTTTAAATAGATATTGTTTTCATATATTTGTGAAAACTAGCAAGAATTTGCAAAACTCACAAATTGACAGTATTGTTGTAAGAAAAATGTATTATTTAGAAAATATTAAAAGAAGAATTGTACATAATAAGAAGATAGAGAAAGAATTATGTGTTACTCGATATCAATTACAGTCAGACCATCGAGATTTAGATGTTTATGATATAGATGAAATAGGAACATATGAATGTTTAGAACACATCAACCAATATTATATAGCAGATTACGAAAAAGATAAATGCAATTATAAGCAAGATTCAAAATCATGTATTCAACAAAACATTTTTTTGAATATCAACCATAGACCATCCAATTTTCCAATGAAATTTATAATATCTAGTGTTGATGGAGCCACAGCTACTGACTCGAGCGATTCTGAACCCGAAGCTGATATTACAATCGATAGACAAGAGGAATGTATATGCGTTTATAAATCTGGAAAGACGAATGTACCACAAAACATAGTTCAGATTACTCCGAAAAAAAGAAAGCTCGATTTCAAGGATGATGATTACGAATCACCTAGTAAACGAAAAAATATGGCTGTTAAAACACCGAAAAGAAAATATAATTCTCCAAGCAAAGTGCTCAGAAGTCCACAATTGTCGGGTAATTACTCGCCTCTTGATATTACTATTACATCTCCGAAAACTCGTAGAAGTCCTGTACGACAACACGAATCTCCGAAAAATAAACAATACACACCGATATCCGATATTCCTACTTCTATTACACCAAACCGTAAGACACGTTCGTTACGTGTGAGCTTACTTTGTGAAAAACGCCTAACAAATTTTTCAAAGTTAGATTTAGGTAATTTAAGTAACTTTATTATATTTATAAAGAATTATTTATTTATATAGCGCATTTATATAGCACATTAAATGCTTTTGATTTAATTTATTTTCTTTCTTTTTCAGAAAATAATGTCGACACTGATAATGTTCAAGAGAAATTAGTAGTTAATGAAACAGATATGGCGTAAGATTTCTATATTTTAAATAATTTAGAAATAATATAATTATTTATATAAATGGTAAGTAATATTTATTATATATTTATAGTGAAAATATTGATTATACAAGTACTGTAAAAATTACTAAAACAACAGTTCATGAATCAATAAAAGAACATGAAAAGAAAATGGAAAATCCGTTGGTTAAAAAAAGCAAGGAGATTCGTAAGAGATTGTCTTTTTTGTATGAAATAGAAAATACTCCTGCAGAATCAGATCACCATATAAGTCGATCTGAAAACTTGATCGCATTTGAGCATTCTGTTGACCAAACACACACAGATGCAATTGCAATTTCTTCCAACAATGAAAATAGTGATAATAGTGTTCCAAGCAGTCAACAAACGGAGAAAAGTAGTAATGATATGTCGCCCGAGAGAAACTATGCATCAGGCATACGTAATCTGGCGAAAGAATTGATTACATTTCATGATATTATTCCTGAAACTGATCTTGATGAAGATGAAAACGAAGTATGTAATACAACTTTTACCCAACATATCAATGAAAAGCTAGAGAATGACAGTCAATGTTTTTCATTGGAAAGAAATATTCATCGATCACGAAGAAATGCATTAATTACAATTACCACAAAGTATAAACCTCCTAGTACTGAAAGAATTTTAGAAAGTATGACATTGTACGGCATTCCGAAATATAGATCGCAAAAACCATTTTTCGGCAACAATAACGATTACGCGAAACATAAAGAATCATCAAACACGAATACTCTGCGTTTCGACATACCTACATTTAAATCTAGTTTAGAAGAGATTACAAGTATCAAGCTATGGCGAAGAATGAAAGTCAATGAATTTCATCCCTCTGGAGCAAGTATAAAGACTTATCATATCAAACGGTCACTTGCAGGATATAATCTGTTAACAATTAAACCACTCATGGTACCGCCATCTTCTAAAGATATTAAAAATTGGATAAGAGCTAAAAGATATCTTTCAGAAAAAAATTGTGATATCAAATTATACAAACAAAATAAAGAAAAGGAATTAAATGTACACAACATACAACATTCGTCAATCAATATTGTCAATGAAAGAGATGAGCCCCAGCAAAGAACATCTAATAATTCAATAAATAACAATTCAAACATGGAGGAATCTGATTCATTAATGCTTCAGCAAAGTATGCTCAGCGGAACATCTGATGATACCAGGAAATACGAGTTTACACAAAATTCTGATAATTCACAAATATCGGGAGATAATCTAAATCCTTCCTTGAAAAAAGCATTAGAAAATCCGTTATTATATAAACAAAATAAGATGCAGCAGCAGCTGGGTGTCTCGTATGGCCAGATCGAATGCACGGGAGGAAGCTCTAAGGGAAGCTATGGTAATGTCTCGAGTGAGAATCTTCAAAATGCTAGAGCGATCACTGTAGTAAGTTTGTTATTTTAATTCCTCTTACGTGTGTAACTAATCCAAGGTTTATATCTTATTAAATTTTTCACAGCATCAGTATCTGACATTACTATCTCTCGAAGTACACACTGTTACTCGGGAAAATCTTCTTCCTGATCCACAGTATGATTCTATCGCTGCATTATTTTATGCGATTTATAATGACGTTCCGATGGATACTAATGAGCAGATAGAACATGGTGATTATCAAAAATAGTAATTTTATATACAGAACTTATATAATATATCTCCCTTAAGATTTTACTTCACTGATTAAAAAATTGAAGATTATTTTTTCATACAGCACACAATACTATTATTAATAATAATAAACTTTTTTGTTTTAGGCGCTATAATTGTAAATCCTAGTTCTGTAAGTACAAGACTTAATAAGATCCATTCTGCGAGTGTAATGTGTCCGATACTATATGTTATGACAGAACAAGATATGTTCAATAGTCTTGTAAAATTAATTGAACAGTACAATCCAGATATTCTAGTCGGTTGGGAAGTAGAAATGCTTTCATGGGGCTATGTTTTTCAAAGAGCATTTCATCTTAATCTCAATAATTTTCCAATAAGAATTTCAAAAGTTCCACATATACATATATTTTCCAAGTCCGATAGTCATGTATCTGAAAAGAATGATGTAAGTGAAATAAAAGTACTTGGTCGCAATATCCTTGATGTTTGGAGAATCATGAGGCATGAGGCAGGTGAGTTGTATATTTTCAAAGCGAATATTTATTTCTTTTATTTAAAATAATAAAAAGGGACTTAATTTCTTCCAGCACTATTAACATATACCTTCGAGAATGTTATGCACCATGTTTTACACGAAAGAATTCCATGCCCTTCTTTCAAAATATTGTCTACCTGGTGGAAACATAAGAGTATGATAATAAAAAGCAGAGTTATACATCATTATGTTATTAGAGTTGTAGGCACTCTTAAGCTCTTAAATCATTTAGATATTATAGGTGAGATTAATGAGTTTTCTATATTTGTTTTTTACACTTTTTTATGTGTTAAATATATTTATTACTATTTACTTGATAATCTTAAAATTTATTATTTTATTCTAAACTTTCATATCATGTAGGTCGCACATGCGAACACGCCCGTCTCTTTGGTATACAATTTTACGAGGTTTTTTCACGAGGTTCACAATTTCGCGTCGAGTCCATGATGCTAAGATTAGCAAAACCCATGAATTATATTCCAATCTCACCATCCATGCATCAAAGAGCCAAAATGCGAGCGCCGGAGTGTCTACCGTTGATTATGGAACCCGAATCTGAATTTTATACTGATCCATTGATTGTACTCGATTTCCAGAGCTTGTATCCAAGTATGATTATTGCTTACAATTACTGTTTCTCTACCTGTTTAGGAAGAATAGAACACATAGGCCAGTGAGTATATCTAACATATATAAACGGCAATATCAAAAAGAGATTTGGATTAAATTCATTAATTCGATATTTTTCTTCGTTAGATACGGTCCATTCGAGTTCGGTGCAGCGACGTTAAGGATAAGAAAGAATACTGCATTAAAGTTGCAAGACAAAATAAATTTTTCACCTTGTGGTGTAGCGTTTGTGAAGAAAGAAGTACGTCAGGGAATATTACCGCGTATGCTGGCGGAAATTTTAAATACTCGTTTGATGGTAAAGGAATCTATGAAGTTACATCCAGCAGAAAATCGCACATTGCACCGTGTTCTTCATTCGCAACAATTGGGCCTCAAGTTAATCGCGAATGTCACTTATGGTTATACATCCGCAAATTTTAGTGGCAGAATGCCATGTATTGAGGTATGATATATGTTTTCAAGTTATATAAAAAAAGATAATTGAAAATAGTACATACTCATAAACTTAATTTGATGAGACTCTTTAAATATTACTTCAATATCGATATTATTTTCTGTAGAAATTTTTGTTTATTTGACGAGTTCTTTATAGATAGGCGACAGTGTTGTCAGCAAAGGACGAGAGACATTGGAACGAGCGATCAAGCTAGTAGAATCTACTCCAAAATGGGGCGCTCGAGTAGTTTACGGAGATACAGATTCTTTATTTGTGTTATTAGCTGGAAAATCTCGAGAAGAGGCGTTTGCTATCGGCGAAGAAATCGCGGATGCTGTAACCGCGATTAATCCCCCGCCTGTTAAACTTAAATTTGAGAAAGTTCTTTATCCCTCTATTTTACAAGTAAGATATCAAGAAAAATGACATAATTATAATAAAATTAATATATACAGCAATATTGATACACATTACAAAAAGAGGTCAATAATATTTTAAATTGATAAATGTATTATTTCAGACGAAAAAACGATATTGCGGATACATGTACGAGACGCGCGATCAGGAGAAGCCCGAGTTTCTAGCGAAAGGAATTGAGACTGTTCGCAGAGACGGATGTCCTGCAGTTTCGAAAGTAAGCAAGGTGACAAATAAAAATTATCCTCGTGATTGATTTTACAATAAATTTAAATATTTTCTCATATTGCAGATACTCGAGAAAGCCCTGAAGATTTTATTCGATACAAAGGATATTTCTCTAGTAAAGCTATACGTTATCAGACAATTCGATAAGATCTTTCAGCGACGCGTGTCCATACAAGATTTGACATTTGCGAAAGAATTTCGCGGGATGCGCGGATATAAGCCATCCGCTTGCGTGCCGGCGCTAGAATTGACGCGCAGATTGATCAGGAAAGATCCACGCGCCGTGCCACGCATCAGCGAGCGCGTTCGATATATCATCGTTGCTGGTGCACCGAATCAGCCGCTCATCCATTGCGTGCGTACGCCGATGGAAGTTATCATCGATCCAGGGTTAATTCCAAATTCCGTGTACTATATAACTAAAGTCATCATACCGCCCCTCAATCGCTGTTTCAATCTATTCGGAATCGACCTCAATGTATGGTAAGTATGTTAAATTCATATGAATACTTTCAATCATATGGAGATCACATGTTTTGCAATAATTTCAGTTCACTCATGAAAGAGAAACATTTTATAATATTATATTTTTGTACGTAGGTATAGAGAAATATCTCACCGCACCAGTTTCAGTAATATTGTACGCTTAGGAGAAGACAATTCGAAATCTACTATTCGTCAGTTCTTCAATTCTATTACATGCATTACTTGCGGAGAACAAACCAATAAAGAAGTTTGTCCAGAATGCCTTTCACAACCAAGCCGAACAATTCTTGTACTTCTTCAGAAGATAAGGCAACTGGAAAGAAATCAACAACAAATAGCTGCTGTAAGGACAAAGGAAAAAATATTATGGAAACATTTATTGTTAAGAGCGAGCTTGTATTGAATCTTGTTTTTAAGTTAAAATTTCTATTAATTCTCTATAATTATGTGTAATATTTTCTATTTATATAGTAATGCATTTTTTTTGTAGATTTGTCATTCCTGTATTGGGCGATTAGGTGATATAGAATGCTCATCTTTGGATTGCCCTATTCTATACCGAATGGCTCAAGCTCGCAAAGAGCTTACGCAAGTTTCTTACATAAATAACATTATTTATGGAAATAATTCAAATGGAATCGAAGATTTGAATGCAGTTGCTGAATGGTATTCATTATGATGGAAGTAAATCTATTATCTGAAATAAATAAAGATTTTTTATTTTTTATAAATTACAAATATTTCACAGAGTAATATTTAACATTGTTAATCTTGTAACATGTAATATTGTTAAGATTAATATTATTTTTTATAATCAAAAATATATAGGATTAAATAATCTAAATATTTAACTTGGACTAAAGTACGGTATATAAAATTTTGACCCTCTTGAATAAAATTGTATCTTTGGTATACATACGATACATTTAAGAATAGATATAATAATTAATCTACCGATTGGTTAACCAATTTACGAAACGACCAATGAGAAACACGATTTTTTTTAGATACTAGCTGTGTTCCAAAATACACTGCCAGTATTGGAAATCTATAGTTCACGTTACATATATTATAGATTTCTAGTACTAGCAGTGAATTTCTGAACGCAATTCAGCACAACCAATCAGCAACGAGCACACAGTAATTCGTTTTCCCTCCAAATAGAAGCTGAATATTTTATACGCGTCGAATAAGTTTATAAATACCTGAAAGCTTTCTCGAGATTGAAGAGGCACAAATTTTACACAATAATATAGATATAACTATGAAAAGCATGAAATTACAATTGTTAATACCTTCAGAAATGTTTCTTGCGAACGACTCGTGACATGACTCGCTTCGAACACGTTCTCGTTTAACGATATTAACGGGCCATCGCGTCGACGCGATTTGAAAGTTTTTATTTGTTATAAACGAGATAAGCGCGATGTCGAGAACATAATCGGCGATGAAGAAATCGCACCGGCGAGTGTTCTAGCTCTCGTATGATCATTGATAAATTGCGGCGTTTTAGCCTTCATATGACGACGAGCGTCTCGTTGCGTGTTAGCCAGGTGATTTTGTCTTCGTCTGTTCGCACTGTTAAATAACCATTGCACATCAAACTGCTGTTACATCCGTAAAACTGCTAACAAATGGTTTAGCGATCGTTTGTCATGGCATATCGAGCCCACATCTTGCAAATTGGGTGCTCGCGGTTTGCGATTTGCTATCATTTCAAAAGATTCCCATTCTTCAATCTTGATCGAGCTTTTTGCGATCTTCTGTCATTCAGGCATAATGTCCGCCAGGGGCAACTCCTCTCGCAAGGTCTGTTGTTTTTGCAACTTAACAGAGAACAATGAACTGGAGTACGGCAGATTTCATGAATATAATGGAATTGTTACACATTATTATTGCTTGGTAGGTTTAAAGTGCTAATAACTAAAATGCTAAGCGAAATAACCTTAAATGAGTCGAGATTTTAATCTATCTTGTTTTCTCTAATATCGTTAAATATGGAATTTAAAAAATTTCTAAGATGTTTAGATACAGAAGGCTTATAGTATATTAGTCAGAATTATATTGTTAATATATTCATATGTGCATTGTTTTAGCTTCTTTCTTCAAACATGGAACAGAAAGGAAAGGACGACGAGGGTATACTTGGATTTCTAACAGAAGATATACAAAAGGAACTTCGCAGAGGAAAAAGATTGGTATATAATTTAAAAATGATGATATTCTCTGTTACTATATATGACTCTTAAATATTTTATAAATAATTTAATCATATTTATCAAACACTGAATTATGAATTTAATCTGACAAGTAGTTTTTGATGTTCTTAGGCATGTTCGTATTGCAAAAAGATTGGTGCTACTTTAGGCTGCTGTAATGTAAAGTGTAAACGAATATTTCATTTTCCTTGTGGTTTGAAGGCTGGTTCATTACATCAATATTTCGGAGAATTTAGGTAAGGACAAATATCAAACCATTTTTTACAGGTGCTGTAACTGTAAAAATTTTGGTATAATCCCAATTTATTATAATTGGAATGTTTCAGATCATATTGTATAAATCATAGACCAAAGCAACGAATCGATGAACATATTTTAAAGCAGATTAGCTCATTAGATAATATATTATGTTGTATATGTTACGACAAGATAAACCCCACTGATTTTGTAAAAACCTTATGGGCCCCCTGTTGTAAAAAAAATGCATTCTTTCATCGTAAATGTGTTCAGGTTAGTCATAATAATATTCATTTTCATGCATGAAAAGCTTATACTGATTGTTTGATATATATTAATTTTAAATTACAATGATATTCCCATTTTTGAAACATTACTATGCTTATAGCATAAATATAAATTTATATCCAAGACAATTCCTCATTTCAGCAACTTGCTTTAAGTGCGGGATATTTCTTCAAATGTCCTCTTTGTAACAATAAACAGGATTTCCGTAATGCTATGTTGGAATACGGCATTTTTATCCCGAGTCAGTAAGTATAGAATTTTCACAGGTCATTTTTTGTAACGCTTTTTGGAATTCTTTAAGTTGTGTGTACATTAGTTGACTCTATAAAGCCAAAAGTTACTTCTAGATTAAAATATTAATGTTGCTAATATTGATAAGTTAATGATATGTTTTACATAACACAGAATAAAAACATATTTTTTATGTAATGTTAGGGATGCGTCTTGGGAATTGGTACCAAATGCATTTGAAGAGCTTTTGTATAGACATGATCAGTGTGATGCAGTAAAATGTCTTTGTCCAAAGGGAAGAAAACATGTTAGCAGTAATGCGTAAGTAATAAAGTAATAATTGCTTATAATAGTATTAAAAAATTTTATATGGTATTAAATATGTGAATCATTATAAAATATTTGTGAAATATTATAGTAAATGGGAATTGACGTTATGTCGGACTTGTGGATCGCAAGGTATTCACATGGCATGTGGGCAATTAAAATGGGCTAATCCTATATGGGAATGCACTGAATGTACTTCCATATTACGTAAGTATCTCCTTAATTTATAGAAAGAAATACATTATAAACAAATGTTATGATATCTATATAATTGTGTTTTTTCTTTTATAAGATAACACTAAAAATAATGGAGATGCGGAATCAGAGAACAGTTCTGATAGGTATGTAATAAATTTATCTTGTAATTGTATAGATTGTTAAAAATTCTTAAAATTTTTCTTCATTTATCTTGGATCAAATAATTATCGTATTTATATAACATGTCTAACCCATATGATTTTTGCTGTTACTTCTAGTTTGAGTAGAGATTCTAATTTAGACTCAAATAGTGATACAGACATTTCTGTGGGAATGGAGTTTCCTGTGCCATGTGCATCACCCAGTTTTAGTTCTAGTTCATCTGCGTTATCCTTGTCGGATATCGGAACGGATATTAGAATACGCCCTGGACCACGCTCTTTTAAGTTGCAGCAGCAAATGATTAAATGGTTGGATCATAATAACTGATAATAATCATAGTGATAATATTCCTTCAAATTTAATGTGCTATTACAATAGAAAATTAATTTTTTGTTTTATTTAATAGGTTGGAATTTACACATGATGCTTTTCAGAAGGATGTAACTGCTGAACTTAATCAAGATACCAATGCATCATCAAAGAATGACGATGAAGAAAAATCTTTGAGAAATAACGAAAATAATACTCGGAAAGAAAGACAGATGTCTAGCAATGACATAACATCTCAACCGATTCGAAAGGAAACGGATATTATCACAATTGAGAGCGATGACGATAATGAAGTAGAAGTAAACGAATTTAAAATATATTGGTTTTATAAATAAGAAAATCGCATTTTTTTAAAATCAATATCATATACGTACATATTTTCTGTTATTGCAGATTATTACATTAAAACGAAGAACAGATCGTTTAACTCCACTGCAATCGACATCTCAATTAAGTATACCTCATATATCATCATCAAAGAATATTATAAAGTCACAGTTAAACACAATAGAAAATTTAACAACTACATGTTCAAACGCAACATCGACTAATTTATTGGAAAAAAATTATATTGAGCTACATAAATCTGTCGCATCAAAACAAAACATTTCAAACAAAAGTGAATCTACCACTGAACTATTTGAGGCAGCTACATTGCGAGAATCCACGCCAGATCTTTTCATTTCAAATGATAATAATTTGGATAACTTGGACACAGAGAATATAAGCAGAAGTCCTATTATGAATATTAAAATTACTAACGTTACTTCTCTACCGCCCGAAGTGTTCGAAAGTGTACCTGACGTCGCGTTACATGAGAATTCTATCGATATCGCGTCTCCTTCGACAAGTAAATCGTTGGAGAAACTCGTCACGTACATCGCGCCTCCAAAACGCATATACGAAGAAGGTAATTTGAGAAAAAGAAGAGGAGTTTATACATATATATTATAACTGCAATGGTAATAACATAACATTATATTATATTTTTCAGCAAACAGTGTTACCAGTAATTGTAAAAAAATCAAAGGAGATAATTGTGACAAAAAGTCTTGGGAAAAGAATTCAATACAATTAACTAATTTACTCGATGTTGTTACAACTAATGCGAGCAAACAGCAAAATGAAAAGATATCTCCAAGCAAGACCAATGAGATTCATGAAAATAACAATCTCTTGAAATGTACATCTGAACTTTTAAACGAATCTTCCAATTTATCTAATTCATCCAATTTATATAATCAAAAGGAGTTGTCTACCCAACTCATATCATTTCGTAAGGAGAATGATGTAAAACGTACGAATCAAGTCACAGGAAATTATTCGGAAGGAAACGGATCATCACTTAATGTACAACAGAGTAACGAAAATTCTGGAAAAGCGAGGAAGACATACTTGCCCAGTAGCAAACGCAAAAATCAACTTTACTTGTCATTGGAAAAGTTTTATCCCACATTAATGCCAGACTCGAATCTTACAATTAATCAAGATGCAGAAATCAATAGAAATATGCTCCATACATTATCGAACATCATTCTGCCAAATGATTTCCCAACTGTAAGCCGATCGGTGGTGAGAGCATTTAATGCAAATGTGCCCGTTGTTGCAAACGACAATCAGACAAAAATGTTAGATAAGAAGAATACTGCCTTGATGAAGGAAAAAATATTTACTAATGTATCCAGTCCTGGCGATAGTTTTTCAAACAACATACTTGTAAGTAACTTATTTAAAAAATTTAAATATTAAATAAATATTGTAAATAATTTCTGATTAGTTTTACACACTATTTTTTAAATAAATTATTTTTTTAAAAATGTTTTATTTCTGTACACTAAATCTCTGTAAACCCCGCGTTCACGCTTTGTAAAGTAATAGTAAACATATTATGAGCATATTATTGATTCTGGTGAGAAAACGGTGCGGGGAGTGTGTGTTATTGCAAGCAAATTTCCCCGTGCCTCCTCTCCAGTGTATATCTTGCGATTCTAACAGTGTGACGGGGATGCAGGCACCTGCCCTGCTGAGATTGACTCAACCGGCCGAAAGAAGACAGATCCATCAAGTGAATCCTGTGGGAGGTGAGTCTAATATACTGCAATACAAATTCTTTAAAGAGAGATTCTCGTGTAACAGCTTTAAAAACAGGTAATTTTTATGAAAGTTTTTTTAGAAAACTATTGACCATATCAGAATAAACTTTTTTGTGGATATAAAGAGACATCCTGAGAATACAAAAAATCTTTTTTTTTTAATTTTCTTTATTATATACTAAATAGCATGTAGGAGTATTCCTTAAATAGTAAATTCTTCAATTCTTATTGCAATAAATTGAACTGTTTGTTGCAATAAATTAATATGTTCGTTAATGATTTTGTTATAAAAAAGAGAAAGAGAAAAAGATATTTATTAGCCACAAAAAATAATGACAAAGTAAGCTAATTAAGAGAGAGAGAGATTTCTATTAACAAAATGTATACTGTTGTAATTCATCATAGATGAAAAAATACATAGATACATACATAGAAAAAAAATACATGATAAAAAAAAGAAATTGGAAATAAAATGCTGAAAAAGAACAAGACTGATATAAAAGATGCATATAGATTAATATTAATTTATTAATGTATAGTGCGGACAGCAGCGAAGCCATTGAATCGCACAATCCTGTCGCGACCAACAGCGTCTTCCCCCGAGTCACAAATAACTATAGCACCTGTCATCAACCTAGATTGATACCGCAGTATATGAATTTACATGATCTGAAGTTTCGAGTCTGCAAACCAGACAATGTTCAGGTATATTTCACATATGTAGGGGAATCGATTATAATAATAAATTATTAATAAGTTTTTACCGAGAGCGGAGTTTAATCACAATATTTCTATATATATGCAGATGGTTTTGTATGATACTTTCTCTGTAAATATACCGATAAAAAATTCCAAGGAGAGCAAGATTCAATCGAACATAGCTGCACAACGGGAATCGAAAGGATTGTCCTATCATGCATCAGGTGAAGCTTCGTCCAGTATAGAGTACATCGATGGTATCCAAACTGCAGAACAACGATTCTTCAAGTTGTTTCGCTCTTCGAAAAATGAGAACTTGAATCATGATAAGACCAAGTACATAGTACATGGTCAGGACGATACAAAAGAGAATTTAGATCCTGTTAGATCGAAAATGCTTTCGTGTAACGATATATTTGATAATAGTTTAGTGAATGACATTTGTGACACAGTGACCGTTCATGATTCTCTTTGTGGTGAAATGGATAATGAGATGCATCTTGTTTCGAACGATACTAATTTAAATACATTAAATCCAACAATTTGTAATAAGAATGTAGAGGATAGTGTAATGGATGGCGTAACGTTCGTTTCGAATGATCGCAAACAAACCTTGCAAGTCAATTGGGAAGATGTACAGCAGCATAAACAAGTATCTATATACAATATGACGCCTGCGTCTACAGAAGAGAAAATTGCTCGATCTTTTTGTAAAGAGACTAGCAGCATAGTACACAAAGTTGATTTTGATTTTAATATTGTTAAAACGAATAAAAATATTGAGAAAATATTGCAGGATGATATCACTGTTTCTACAAATCGATATAATAGGGATAGCAATAGAAAAATTGGAAACGATCATACAGACGATTCTCAGACGATGTTACTAGTTAATAGTTATAAACATTTAGACAATACAAACGTCATGAGACCAAAAGTTGCAAATTGGAGTGCCACCCGTGTTTCGAACATTATGTTTAATGAGCATTTTATAAATAAGCAAATTGATACATCCGATTCCGTAAAGTTTATTCGATGCTTGACATTTAATGAAAATATTGTAAATCGTAATAGTGAAAACAATTTCAGATATAATAATAGCGAGTCTTTTCTCAAAGTTAGTATAGATTTATGTAAAATACAAAGTCTGATCGACTCTAAGCCGGAATTATTTGTAAATCAGAAAAGCAATGTTGATGATAAGCGGCGTAAATGCACAAGTTGATTATATGGCCAAGAAGATTACTCAACAACAGGTAAGATATGATATCGAGAACAGTGATATTAATCAATATCCACCAAAAAATAGTGAGTTACAGATGTCAGGAAATTGCATAAGTAACATGAGGCAAATGTAGATGCGAAATATTGTTCCCATTGCGAATACATTCGTGCGAAATCAGAAGCCAAAACGTGGGATTAAATATTTCGATAAACATATTTTAAATAGATAGATAAAATAAAGAATACTCTGTATGATAAAGAAATATAAATAGCATGGCAGAAAAAATAATGATTCATGTCCACTAATATTTTATACAAAATGTGTTGTGATTTTATACAAAACTGGAAAATACTTATTAATGTGTAATTTTATTTTTTCCTTTTCTCAAACAATGAATAAATTTCTGTTCGCGCACGTCTTCAAATTGTAACATATAATTGTATATAGTAAAATTTTATATAAAGTAAACAATTTTATATAGTTATTTTCTATACTATACTGATATAATAAAATGATTTTATATTTATAAGCATCATTTTTCCTATCTCCACTTTCTTGTAATAATATAAAATCGAATTGAATTGTTAATCTAATTTAGTTAAATAATTTATTTAAAGCTCTTGCTTTTTTTTTATGGCCTAAACATATTATTTTTGTATTTTGATTGGTTTAGAGAGTAATCAAGTAAGAAAGTAATAAGATTAAAGAATTAAAAATAGTGATGCATTTTTTATAAGCTTAAGTTTTTTATTAAATTGACTTAAACATGTTACACTGCTGGATCGTCTCCCTTAGTAGTACGTGTATAGATAAGTTGTGCGTGATGCTGCACAACTTGCTTGATCAAGCCCTTTTGCTGAAGCTCTATCAGAGCCCGTCTGGCGAGAGATCCTCTAATTTTTAATCTCTCGCTAACAATTGAAGGTGTAATCAATTTGTACTGTGGTACTTCTTTTAATAATTTTTCATATGTCGGTTTATCAAAGAGTACTTGATTATTTAATTTGTCACGTACTTTTCCTTTGGACCACTTCTGCAAGTATAAGGGGGAAATATGTTAAAATAATTCTATTACAAAATAAAACATTAAAGATACATAATTTGAATCTCATCCAATTCATTAAATCAGATTTTGCTTTCACAATTAATAAAGTTGATATGTATACATTAAAAGAGATGAATTGTTTGAAATCTATTGCAAAATCATATATGATACAAAATTAACAAACCTTCTTCTTAGCTTTTCCACCAGATCCACCCTCCTTCTTCTTCTGAGTTTTCTGAGGTTGTTTGGAAGAACCTTTCGTATCCTTTTTGGGTGGCTATAATAATAAATTAAACATAAGATATACTCATAACAAGACAAAATTTGATTACTTCCAAAGATAGTAATCAGACTCATTAAATCAGTGTTTTACTGTCATAGTTATCTAGCAAATACTTAGTCATCATAGAGATGAAGAATTATATAATTTAAACCGAATATATATATATCTTCAATATTTGAAAACAAATAAAAGAATATATTAGCGGTATTTTAAAGATGTTTTGTATTGTCTAAAGTATATTATATATTTTTATATATTCATTTTATATATTAAAATTGATTTGCATATTATTTTATATTAATAATAAATAACATAAAAAGAAAACAGAAAGAATTGCTTGAAATTTATAAAAACATTAACACATACAGATGGATACGTTTTGCTGAGAGTACTAGTATGCTTAAGATAGGATATATTTCTATTAATATAATTAATTGTTCTTTAATTGCATCTTTGAACCACCAATATAGAATCGTTATTTCTCTTCATAAAAAATATTGCCCTTCACATTTTTTCAAAACCAACAGGATTATATATTTAATGGATTGTATACAGCACATGGATCCTTGGACAGGTTACATTCCTCATTCATAAACGAAATCGCATCCAAAACATATTTTCAATTTATATTTACCATTTTACGAAAATCTTCACGCTTTTACGTAATATTGACGGATTTATCTTAGGATTACGATAAAAATACTCTCCGAAATCGCACAGTTCACACGTGAAAACTTACCATGATGGCCGATGATCGAGTGAGAAAGAGAGCGGAAGTCAGCCGAGCGCCATGTCGAATATCATGACGACCGTGGCTCCATCTACGACGACGGATATCCTGTACTACGTTGATCGAAATCGCGACGAAAAATCGTGTCGCGAAAAGCCACAACTACACGCCATTTCGATAGATTATTCCATCGTGTGGCGAATTTCATTTCGCACGCGAACTTATTCCAGCACGTGACGCATCGATTTATCCGTCAACTCGTCACTCATTACCTTCCCCCCCCCCCCCACCCGCCCCCCTTGCCGA